TCTTCTAAATGCTGCCTGGGTTATTAAAAATTAAATATTTATGTATTCATATTAATGGCAGTTTCACAAAATGCTACAGTTGTTCTTTTGTTTTTTTTTTTGTTATGGTCTGTTTACAGAAACAAAGCAAAAAAAAATGTGTAAAACTCTGTGCTCAAGTTCCATAACTTGCGTTAAGCTAACCCATCTGGTCTCCGATTGGATTGTTCAATTTGTGATTGACATGGCATTGACCAATCAGATGAGAGGAAGAAACATTAGGTCATAATTTGTGCAAATTGAAACTCACACCAAGTTAGGAAACTTGAGCGCAGAGTTTTAAACGTGGATCTTTTCTTTGTATCTGTAAACAGACCGGAACAACAAAAAATGTAACTCGTGTATTTAGTTTTTACAATTACTAATCTTTTTCACACATGCTCAACGCAGAATTTCCCATACATTTTATCTTACAAGGTTACAAAACTTAACTCACAGCTACACAGTCTTATTTACAAGCACAAAATATATTTGTGCCCATAAACGTCCAGCTGCTGCTCAAGCTAACTGAACGTTGAAGTCACCACAAAGTTCTAGACAAATAAATGTGCGTTGTGAACGTGCAGCAGTGTGCAGGTGTGTGAAATAATGTTTGCATAATCGACTGCCATTTTTCTAAGACTTGAGTTGTTTTAAGACAACAGCAAACTTTGATCTTAGCTGCAATCCAACTAGCCATTCATTAGCATTATTAGCATTATCAGTTCTGTTGGACGTAAACCATTTCTATTTCTGAAAACTATTTCCGTTGAAAGATTATATCTGCATGTAAGATTATTTCTACTTAAGTTTTCCACAGAACCCCACTGAAAAATGGATAGAATATTCCTTTGAAGCTCCACAGATGTCCTTGTAGCTTTAATCTTATCACTATCAAATTCTGAAGCAGAATATTTCCGCAAGTTTGACACAATCTGGTTCTTCCAGTCTCGCCTTATTTTCGCACGTAGAAAAGCTTTTTGTTTGTTTGTTTATATACAAACATCTTTTGTCTTTTTGGTTATTCATTTTGAAATTAATTTACCTGTATTCATTTAAACCTTCCTGAGATTTCTTTCTTTCTTTAAATTATTCATAGGTTTTAAAATAAGCAGCCTATAAAAAATGTAACTCTTACTCGATTATTGCTGTCCTTTAAAAACACTCACTTTTTTTTCCCGCAATCATTATTTGAATAAATATCACTAGTAGAGGGACTTTAAAAAAAATAAATAAATTGCTTGTTTCTTTTTCTGTCTTTTCTTCTAGCCTTCTTATTGGACCTGAGGTTGCGACCGTCCATTCTCCCACTAATTTCTAGACAATAAAATCATTTTTTATCAGTAAAACCTCAGTTCCCACAGGTGTGAGAAAAACGGACGTTACATCAGCAAACACTTCACCAGCCCTCCTTCGTAAGCATCACTCGATGCTATATCAACCATAAAACCCACTGTGACTTTTTTTAACAGTTTTTATACAGCTTGGACACGACATGCATGTTTCACTTGTGTTACATGCATGTACTTTTAAGCAATGGAACCCAGAGCACCTTTCTATCTTGTTCTCATAGTAGATCTGGGGCAGGGATCGTGCTTTCAGATCACAAAGACAAGCTGTAAAATCTGTTTAGTTTGTTTTAGGAATGACATTCATTTGAATAAAAAAGAAAATTGTCTTAATAATTAAATTCTGACTCAAGAGCTGACTACTGGATTAGAAATCAGAACATTTGCCTAAGCATGGTTGGAAGTGTACTATCCATAGGGAGTAAAAACACTGATACTTTGCCATCAGAAAGAGATAAGACTAATCCGATATGATTGTCACACGTAAGTCACATCCTCATGAACAGAACCTGTCTCCACAGATAAACCAATCTTCTTAATGTTAGCAGACAGTCTGACTCCTAACAGGAAACGTTTGACAACTTGAATCTACACCAGGCCATTGTGATCTTTTGTTTTCTGACAAGATGATTGTCACTCTGTATCTAACAATATCAGTAAGAATATGTTACTCAAAAATATATAATTTAAAAAAAGAAACATAAAAAGCTATTTTCTAATAATACAGTTGTGGTTGGAAATATACACATCTCATGATGAATGTCAGATTAATTTTAAGAATAAATTGTTTATTTGAACCGCTCTTTTTGCTATTTTTAAAAACTCTAATTAGGTGGACAAGTTTGAATTTATGTGTATTTTTCTCTAATTCAAATATATATCGCTCTCGACCTTGACCTCTCTAAGTGGTTTTAAACATCTGTTAAGTTCCTGGGAAAAACCAATGCAGACACGTTACAGTTTTTAGTTTTCTACATCGCCTTACAACCTAGCTGTTTTTTGCTACTTTTCCTTTTAATTACCGTCTCATTTTCATTTGTTAAAAAACTAAAATAAAATTTGTATATTTATACCATTCATACCTTCTATTAGGTGATGCTGAACATCTTTAGACCAGGCTAAAGGCTAATACCTTCTCAATTAGGCTGCACAATATTAGAAAAAACTCGAGATATGATATATTAACATTTAAAGTTGCGAGGAAAATATAAATTGCAATAAAACTCTTATCTTCCTCAGTCCTCATTTTCTATTCTGCCATAACTACCATCTAATCCAGGTGTGGTTTTCAGTGGTTCCCAACCATGGTCCTTGAGGAACACCATCCTGCATGTTTTAGTCGTTTCCCTGTTTTGACACACCCGATATGAATGAATTGGGGATGAACAGGCTTTAGCAGAACTTGAGGATGTAATTACATCACTGAATCAGGTGCAATGGAGTAGGGGAACAACTAAAACATGCAGGATGGTGTTCCTCAAGGACCAGAGTTGGGAACCACTGTTTAGATGGTACTTATGACCAGTGAGTTCATTGAATTGATCAGATATATTATTAAAATGCAGAACATGAATGCATGCTATTTGAAATACCATGGCAACCTACAACATATTGCAGTCCAAGAAATCCTCTGCGTCATTGATACTGCATTCACTGATTTTACTATGTGACAATAAATTTGCTCTACATTTGCAACCCTGCTTCTCATTTTTGATCATGATAGTCTGTTGTTAGATTTTTACTGCGAATATAAAAAGTATTAGTTTGACAGCACCCACTGTGTTGACTAATATTCATAACCACTGGGAAAGCTCAAGGAACTCGGTGAAGAAAAAGGAGAATTGTGGATTCACACAAGATGGGAAAATCTTCTGGAGCCATTTCTAAACAACTTGATTCCAAGATTATCAGTTCACGCAACAGTTTGAAATACAACTTTTTTTTTTAGCTAGGTCACGACTTTGCCATGTGCTTGAAGAACACAAAGTGTCCCCCTCAAATGACAGGAAACTGTTCAAGAACAACCCAAAAGATGCCACCCAGGCTCAAGCCTGTTATGACCTTGAAACTGTCGGAACAACCCTGCTCTGAAAATGACCCCTTTAGGTTTGACTGAAATATGCAGTTTCTCAAATGGATCTCATGCTGCTGATCTCTTGCCTTTATGCTGCTGTATTCATTCACATCCATCTGCTCACCACAGACTCATGTTCGGACTGCTGTTGTGATGCCATGTTGTTTTACATTATTAGGGTTTAGAGTATATCTTGGATCTTTTAGCGTACCATTTGGCGTTCGTTTAGTGTATATCTCCTTATATACAGTTTCATTTTACACTTTATATTTGTTCTAACTGGAACCCAGAGTACACAATTTTGTTCCACCTCATGTACCACATGTGATGCAAATGACAATAAACTTGACTTGAACTTGAAATGGACAAGCCAGATGCCTCCTACACAAAATCAACCAAGAGAAAATTCAATTCAGTTTCAATTAAGTGTATTTATATAGCGCCAAGTTACAATAGAAATCATCTCAGGGCACTAACAGAAACATTTATATACATAAAAATAATTTATCACCATTTAACTGAGGAGCAGACTGCTTTGAATTTAACTCCATCGCTGAACTCTCAAGCATGAAGACGACAGTGGAAAAGAAAAACTTCCTCATGAGGAAGAAACCTTTAGCAGAACCAGACTCAGGACAAGCGTCCATCTGCTTTGACCAGCTGGGTTTGAGAGGAACAGGAAGGAGGAACAGATACACAATGGCAGGTCGAGATCACATGTTAAGATAGAAATAATATCAATTGAAAACTATTAATTTTTAACAAATAATTTAAGGAAATTAGGTCAATTTGTCCTCTAGTAGTCTAAGCCTATGGCAGCATAACAAGCCAATCCTAACTATAGGATTTATCAAAAAGGAAAGTCTTAATCCCAGTCTTTAAACTGGACAATGTGTCAGCCTCATGGACAGAAACTGGAAGTTGGTTCCACAAGAGAGGAGCCTGATAACTGGAAGAGCTTTCGCCCATTCTGCTTTTGGAAACTCTAGGAACTGCAAGTAAACCTGCAGTCTGAGAGTGAAGTGCTCTGTTAGGAAAATATGTAACAAAGATCTCAAATATAAGATGGAGCTAGGCTGATGAGGGCTTTGTAGGTTAGAAGTAAGATTCTGAATTTACTTCTGGATTTGACAGGGCGCCAATGGACAGAAGCTAAAACTGTAGAGATGTGATCTCTCCTAACTCCAGTTAAGACTCTGGCAGCAGCATTTTGGATCAACTGAAGACGTTTTAAAAGAAGTATTTGGACACTCAGACAACAAACCATTGCAATAGTTTGGTCTAGACGTGACAAATGCATGAACCAGTTTTTCTACATCATCTTTAGATGTTTTTCATTTTAGTGATACGGAGGTGGAAGAAAAAACTTAGCTATTTGACCACGATGACAAGGAGTATGTTTGGAAGAGTCCAGATAAGGTTTTCGAACCTACAACACTTTAACAACAGTCAAGCGTGGTGGTGGTAGCATCATGCTGTGGTGCGTGTGCACAGCATAACGTGGATGGGATTGTGATAATGCGCAAGGGTTCAAACTTGGATACATTTAGCTGTTCCAGCGGTACAACACATCAAAACCATTTTCTGAATTAAAGCAGGCTGACATTATGCTTCTGGGTCGGGCCTCGTGAAGCCCCAGTCTCTATGAACCCATTTGAAAGCCTGTGGACTGTGCAGGAAACCAAACAATTTAAATGAACTACTGATCCTGCCAAGAACAACCGTCAAACATCCAGTCAGAGTGGCTCCAGAAGGGTGATCATGTACACGCTTGAGCCTGTATGTATACTTTGGCCAAAAGTTACGTTGTATAATCAGTGGTTAAAAAAAAAAAAAACCTAAGGAAAAAAACATTACGAGCTCCAAATAGTTAAGATATTTCTAAGATATTTCTGTGATAATGTCTTGAGGTGTGCAGAGATCAGTGGGTGTGGGATGCACGTGAGAGGATGAGGCGGCATGAGTGATGAACGAGAGATTACGTTACATAACTCCATCCATAGATCCACACCCATCAGTTCATCAAGCTCCCACATCCTTTGCATTCATTAAATATATTTAACTTTAAAAATGGTCAACTAGAATAAAGGCGGCTTGTGTTATGTGTATATTTAACACGGGCCTAACGGGCCTGTTGCTATGGACTAACGGGCTCAGCTGCACCTGACCATCGGGATGATTTACATTTTAAGATATTCGAGAGAAATGTGTTAAGCCAAGTAGTCTTACTGTTACAGCCTCCAACCTGTACTAGATGTGATGCTGACCGAGAAACGGGCGCTAACGTTGGTGAACCTGACAGCGTTCGAGACGCTTCTCTCTCGCCCTGTGCCTCCTACATTTTTCAGCGGCCGCCAATAGAAAAAGCCGTTAATGTGAAACTCAACGCTCATAAAATAAACACCTACCTGTCAAATCTGGAATCAGTACGGAGTCTTAAACGAGGCGGTCGGTGAATGAATTCGAGCCGTACAGAGCTTGGATATCATTATTTGATGGGCCGGACCGGAGGATAACCGAGACAGTAGCAGCAGCCGCCGCGGAGCCTCGCGGATGGATCTCTCACACCCCGGAGGGTGATGATGCGCATTGACTGACAGGTCATTCTGGCCAATCAGCAGAAAGGGCGCTCTTGTCCCTTCACGAGCGCATCCGTCGTATCGACCAATGACATCTCCGGTTCGGTCAAACAGCCCGCCCACTCCTAACAGAAATTCTTCCACTGAATTCATCAGATAAGAGCTGAATGGCGCTGACACAGCCGGACCTCTCACGGTTCAAACCACCAACAGCAAATTAGTTTGTGGTTTGGTCGTTGTTAGTTTTAAACGCAATAACGTTTTAACTGTTCGATTCAACAAATTATATATTTATACATGCCTATTTACAAATGAGTTCACTTTATTTTTATATTTTTTTAACTGATACTGTCACTACCTGACACTTTATGTAACTCGGAACTCATCACATGCTGTTGTTTGTTCCTCCACGTGCAAGTGTCTCAGCTGCTCTGTTGCTTGGTAACGAACACCTTCAACCGAAGGGTTAAAATCATAGAAATGACAGCCTGTCAGTAATCATGGAGGAAGTTAGATTTGAAGCATGGCTTTGTCTAAATGAAGGAGATTTTATTCACTTCAAATCTCACTGAAAACATTAATAATTAATAAACAAGTCATTTCCATGCTTGGCTGCTGTAGTAAAACATGGCCCTTCCTTTCCCACATGTTTTGCATTCAGTGACAAAGGTGCCTCTGTTACAACCAGTATTTCTGAAAGATCTTCATTGTTCCTCGATTCAAATCAGCTTGCTCAGTGTGTATTCCTCATGGATGCAGGGCGTGCCAGTGAAAACTGTGTTGTCTTTTTGGGTGTTTGTTCACGCTAGGATGTTCTCCGTCTTAAAAGAAAAACAGAACATAAACTTTGCACGTAAAGTGAATATATCTCCGAGCAGTCAGGAAATGTTCTAGGCCAATAAAACCTATAGAACTGAGAACATTTTGTTGACATGGAGCCAGTTTTGGTCTCCTGTGTGCTCAGACAAGCAAGGAGCGCTGCAGAGCACCATGGGAAATTATTCTGGGCAGATGAGTTTCTTCCAAACACAGGACAAAATAATAATTAAAAAAGAGAACTGGGAAGCACTGAGGGTTTGTGACATGATCAAGCATGCGTGTAAATGCTCATACATTGTTGTACAGTAGTACTAACAAAACATAAGACATTTTGCCTTCTGCCTTTATCACTAAGTTTAATACATCTGCTCAATGTATGTCCAGTGCGTCACAAGATATTTTGCTAACAGACAAACAGGGTTGACAACAATAGATAAAACACTAGTTCTAGGCAAACGTCGTGCACAATGTGTAGAGCTCAGAATATGATGACTGCTACTACCACACGAAAGATTAGCTCAATATCTGGAAAATTCATTGAGTTACGGTCATTTGAGTGTTTTGTAGTCATGTAGTTGTAGCATCCTTCTTGGACTGAGTGAATTCAAAATTTAGTCAGTTGTAAATGTACACCTAATGATTGTTGTCTGATTATTCCCAATAAATATATCCAGTGGTTAATGAGATATTTAGCTAACAAACCGACAGGTGACTCGTTCATGGCCGTTTTAAAGACAAGTCTCAGTCGATGTTAGTGCTCATTTGACAGATCAGTCAAGATTCTGTCACATCAAATTTGAGCTCATCATCTATAGCAGGGGTGTCAGACTCACTTACAAAAGGGGACCGAAATTAAACCCTTTCTCAAACTAAGGGCTAATTTCAGAATCTACATTAACTCAAGTTAGATACCAAACATATTTTCTTGGTTGCAGATTCCTCAGCAAAAGTTTGATTGGCCTCATTTGACATGTTCTGTTGCATTTTTCACATCATAATCAAAGATTAATGAAAACGCAAAAGTGATTAAAAAAAGTATTTTACATTTAAAATATCATCTTGGGGGGGCCAGATAAAATGTCAACGAGGACCACATTTGGCCCCCGAGCCTTGAGTTTGACACATATGATCGATAGGATTAGCTGAGTTAAAACAGTTTTCTGTGTCAAGTTGCTTGGCTGTGGTGGCCATCTTGAATGGGACTCTAAAGGTTAATCAGTTGAATATCAAATGAGTTTCATTCAAACCTGTCCAGATTTATGAGCTTCGCATACACAAATCCATTATCACCCGTAGACGTTCAGTGTGTTCAGTGTTTGTGTGTGTGCAGCACTCAAGGAACGTTTAAAGCGAACTTTAATTCCACTCACTCTACCAGGTAGTTTTGTATCCAGCTGTAAATCTTCAGGTGGGAACCAATCGAACTTGTCAGGCAACTTCAGGTGCATCACTGTGCATCCACTGAACATGTTTCAAGTTGAGTGTCTTTGTGTTTAGCGGTTTGACTGCAAGCCCCAGCAAGATGCAAGCAGCGATAAACAAACCTATAAATTCTGATAAGATTCTGCTTCCTTCCATAACACAGCAGATCAGCTGTTGTTGAACTATGTCACGTTACCAGGAAGAGGTTTTGGTACACTATGCACTGTGTTGTTTCTTCCATAATTTTGAAAGCCCAACCATTAAAACACTTGTTAAATAAACCTGCAGGGTAAATTTGCAGAATGACTGCTTTAAATTAAAGGCCTAGTATTCTTTAATGCACTTCGCCTGCCGTCTTTAACGCCAGAGTTTGAGACAAATATATGCACAGTTGCAAGATGTCATGCTCAGTGTGTCAGGAATGACTCTCAGCAACCACATTAAATTTTCGCTCAGTAAACTTAAATCAGTATCTGGAGGTTTCTTCCTTTTTAAAGGGAGTTTTTTCTTTCCACTGTCGCCACTGTGCTTGCTCAGGATGAGACTGTGATGAAGTGAAGATTCAACGAGTCTGCTGGCTTCCGTAGAGAACTTTACTAATTGGCTTTTCTTGAATGTGAAGTGCCCTGAGTCAACTTCGTTGTGATATATAAACTGAATTGAATTAAACCAGGGATCTGACTCTTTGATCAAAACTAAAATAAAATTGAACTTTATAGGCTGTTATACAACAAAAAGAATGACTATTTTAGCATTCCTGTAATTTCATTTGCAAATATGTGGATACTAGTAATAATACAGAGTAATTATACTACTTTAACTTTATATCTCCAAAGTAAGATACTCAGCTTCTCCACAATTATGGTAAGTCAAGTCAAATTTATTTATAAAGCACATTTAAAACAGCAGCTGTTACCAAAGTGTTTATTCATGTGCAATTAAAAACACACACAAGCCTGCAATTCATTGGTTTAAAAAAAAATTTGGCTTTTTTTTTTTTCTTTACAAAAATCCAATCTTCTGTGATAAGAATGGCGACCTGCATATGGGCACCAGTGACCCCCTGCAACCCAAAAGTAAGTAAAGATAATGGATGGAAAGAAACTGTCCAATGACCTGACTGAAAATTGTTGGATTGTATACCTGGATTATTGAGCATGAACTTTTTTGGTTTTGAATCAGTTTGACATGACTGTCAACGAGGAAGAGGGCCAGCACTGGAGGGGGCGTGCCAAAGAGACCATCTTAGCACCAACATAACTGGTTTGTTCCATTTTGGAGTAAGCTGTTGGGAGGGAAAAATCAGTTTTGTGTTGTTTCCTCGACTGATGAAGTCTTCTGGATGGAAGGTGAAACGTTTCAGCACAAAAAGAAAAGAAACTATCCAGATGACCTGACTGAAAAATGTTGGATTGTATACCTGGATTATTGAGCATGGACTTTGTTGGTATCCAGTATTACTTATTTGTGAGTGGTAAAGTATGTGAACCTCTAGAATTAGCAGAAAATCTGATGTTGTAGATATTTATGCGCAAATACAGAAAAGTCTAGAGTCCACAAACTTTCAAGCACCAACACACTAACAGATGTTAACTGTAATATTATGAATCACTTTCAACAGACTCCTTCAAAACACTGTAATAATTGAACCTGCCACTGGGTGTCAGCACTGAGTTTATTGTCAGACGAGCACAACATGCTCAAATTATACAAAAATAAAATTTAATCCAGCATTTGAGAAGCAAACATGTTTAACAAACCAGCATAAGGAGCCAGATCAATAAAACCTTGTGTTGTACGATCAGTTCAAACTTGCAGCATTACGTGACCAGTTTATTACGAGGGAATGCCTCGGTAAGAAATACAGTATATTCAGCTGCCAAATGGAAATATAGACAAACAGAAAAGTCAAACTGCATGTAACTAATATCATAAACAGTATAAAGAAAACTAACTACGAAGATTTGAGGTTTACAGATCAAATACTGTAGCTTATCTTTATACACGTCCAGACTGCTATCAGATCATGAGAAACATTTAATTCTCTGTATCTTTCATTTGCTCCTTGTTTTTCTTCACTTCCTGAAGCTTCTTGTCCTGTAAAGTGTTTGAAGACATCAACTATTAAGGCATTTATATTTTGAACACCAAACATGAGGATTTGCTCCAAAGACCAGGACCTCACCTTCTCCTTGAACTTCTCAGTGAGAGCTGCCTGCCGGGCGGTGCGGTTCTCTTTGTTCGCCTCCATCTTCTGGGTGAGTTTCTCCTGCGCCAGCTTGCTAAACTCGCAGTTTTCCTTGATGGCCTTCTGGATGACCTCCTTCTCATGCTCTCGTGCCTCGGCCAGATGCTTCAGCACTACAGCCTCGTGGCTCTGACACAAAGAGACGATTTGGTGAGAAATAACAGATCGAGATTTAAAAACTCGTGGTAAATTTTTTTTTGCATCAAATTCTCTAGATACCCTGCGCCTTTCATCTGCAGCTTCCAGTTTCCTCTTAATCTCATCCAGGGATGTTTCTTTCTTCTTGTTAGGGGACACTGGAAATTCCACCTTAGCATCAGGGGTGGTGGGGCTCAGGATGACCTCAAACGCTTGACCTGACGCACGCTTGTTCAGCTCCTTCACTTGGATGTCTGTCAAACAGGAATACTGGAATTAATACTTTTATACTAGGTGTAATGATGTTACAATAAAAAGGAAGAAAATTCAGTATTTAACGTGTGAAGAAAAGGGGATTTACTGCTAAGCCTGTCACGATAACAAATTTTGCTGGGCGATTAATTGTCTCAGAAATTATTGCGATTAACGATAACATTGTTTGAAATTTGACAATAATTAGTAATTATTGTCAAATTTAAGAAGAAATGTTTATTTGTTTTGCATGTAGTATGTTTTTTGACCACCAGATGGCAGTATAAGACTGCTTAAACCAAAGGATGGATAGTGAGGGAGCGAGCAGCGTGTCCCATTAAGAAAAATGGGAGGGAGGCCCCTTGACATGACATGGGCTGTCTCTTTTTGGTTCTCAAAATGGTGGACGTTCGATGTGGTTTGAGCTCTTTTGCATAGCATTTTTCACATAAAGCTTTTAATTAAAAAAATCAGTAAACAAGTTCTCAGCTTCTTTTTTCAGAGAAAAACAACTTTTTAGACGAAGGCACGGATTTCAACCATGAATTTTGGAGCTTCGACAAGTATGAGTTTTTTTCCCGAGGTCGGCCTGTTATCTTAGCTCGTAGCTTAGCTTCTCAGCTTAGCTGCTTTTAACGACCCAAAAACATGATTTTGGATGATTAAAACAGATTTTAAAGATAAAAGAGAAAGGGAGGAGTCAGTGAAGAACACAGGAGTTGAGCCTTTTGTCATCCAGTGTCTTCAGTAGAAAGAGAGACACGAAGAAACGATAAAGCCGATAAATGAAAATGAGGTTGATAATTTTCATTTATCATGCGATTAATTTATTTATTGTTTATTGCGACAGGCCTATTTACTGCTTATCAAAACTGTGTTGAGTTAAAATGCTCTGGATATAAATCAGCTGGTAGATGAAGCAGCTCATCAGTCAAAGTGTCTTCAACATTTCACTGTTTGCCTGTAAACAGGTGAAGGAACTTTACCTAAACTCATTTATTAAAAATTAAGAGCCCGGTTGATATAGGCGTTTAGGGACATATTGGTATTGGTGATAATTGTCCCATTATGTGCCGATATAAACAGTTGGAACAAGTCATGTCCTTACTTGCACAAGGCGTAACTGCACAATGCTTCCAGCAGAGGGAGCATGCGGGCTACTTTCAAGTCATGGCTGTTCACTTTAACTTGCAGTTTCACGTTCAGCGCAGCCAAAGCAGGGAGCAACACTGCAGCATATTTTGCTGAACAAAGCATGGTAAGTTTATTTTAACTGATCTGAAAAATAAATAAAAAAATCAACAATGAATTTTCTTCAATCCACCAGCCTGCTTGTCATTGGCTATGTGCCTCTCAAGTTAGCAAGCTACGGTTGAGATAACCTAGCATTAGGCCATTGCCTTGTAAAACTTGATCCAGAACAATAAATCTAACGTAGAGGTAAATATATCAGTGTTAGTAACATTATCGTTGTCATCCTCAATGAAGTGCATTGTTTGTCTGAAATCTTTACTTCTCTGCAAAGAACAAACAACGCCGCTGCAGCCAGTACTAATGAGGCCTTCACCATACGATGACTGACTGTTTACACAATGAACAGGGAAAGGCGTTTTTTTGGTTAATTTATATTCATGTAACACACTTGATAACTTTATCTCTTAATGTGGCCATCTCTGTTGATTATTTACCCTCGTTGATGTTATTGTTAAGCACTTCGGTAACAGCTGCTGTTTTAAATGTGCTTTATAAATAAAGTTGACTTGACTTTAAAAAGCAGCTTTTAAAAGACATTTTTATTCAGACGAGCTTTTAGTTAAATGTTCTACTTACTGTTTTTATCAGCTGTTCTTATTGTTTTTGTTTTATATTAAGCCTGTATCTGTATTTCTGTGTAGCACTTTGTGATTTTATGTATGAAAGGAGCAACATAAATAAAGTTTGCTTATTTAAAACAGGTTTAAAAGTAGCTGTTTAGATTCTTAGGGGTGGACAAAGCTCAAAATGTTCAGTCATTATATCAGTTATCAGCATTAGCCGTACCCTCCCAATAGACAAAATTTCCAAATTGGTCAGGCTCTAGTAATTTAAATCAGTGCTTGTTAGCAGGGTTAAAAACAATACAGATGTGTGGCAGCTTGAAGAATTTAGAATCGGTGTAAATCAGGGATATTCAACTGGCAGCCCGCGGGTGACTTCAATCCGGTCCACCAATGACTTCATAAAAAAATAGAACATAATTTTTTTTGAGGGTTCTGGTTTTGTGTTCCGTTTATTGCATTTATGAAAGCAACAAATTAAAAAGGTAACAGATCATTGTAATACTTGATTTATTTACATAATGACTTTAATTAGGCTCAAAGGGATTAACTTGTAGAAATAAAGGTTGAAAAACTGCTGGATGTGCGGCCCCTGAGCAGTTTAATTGAATAGTAAATGCTTTTCTATGAAACTGATTTTTTTTTTCTTCTTTACTTCAATTCCTAACGATTCCCAATGTGTTCTAATGAAAAAATATTAATTATACTGCACAACAATTACATACTTTAGATTAGAATAGCAACTGTGTTCATGTATTTTACACTTACCTCCACAATGTGCCATTTTAGCAGAAAAGCTTGCTTTAATTTTTCTGTAAAAATAGAAAATCAACATTAAGAGATGCACTTTTGGTCATATATCTAAAGATCATACAAATCAGGTAAAATATTGCTTTACATTGTGTTTCACAAAATAGTTAAACATGTAATACTATACTGACTAGAAGACTAAATCTAAACCTGGTTTGCAGTTCAAGGTTCAAGTAGTTCAGAAGGTAAACAGATTTATTTTAAATAAAGCACAAGTATTATTGATACAAGTCACAAAGTTGAGATAATTGTTTTTGACAACTAAAGACAAAGAAAGTGACTGGTTCAGCTACACATTGTATGTTATATTATAATTAATCTAATAAATGTGCACTCATAACGTTCAGACACAATAACAGCCTAAAAACAAATACTGTACATTGAGTTCACTGTGGAGTTCCTAAAAGACAACTTTTATAATTAATATTTACACTTAAATGTCAAAACCTCAGTAAAAGATAATAAAATCCCTTGTACTTTTGCTTCTTAGCGATCCTAATATCCTCTAGCAGTGTATTAAATTTAAAAATAATAACAAAAAAATTGTGAGAACAGATTTTAAACACGTGGACTGAAAAACAAACCAAGACTTGGAACCACCCAATGACATCTTCTGAACTTTTACATGCAGATACGTACATTTATCAATTTATAATTATGTTTTGGGTGAGATGGAGGAGGATGACTCACTGTAAAAGCTGCAAGAATAAGATTATGTTTGCACTAATTTGCAGCAATTTAAACAGCAATAAAAAAGTTTGCTGTTTTACATGTCGACATGAAAGAAATTTGCTGTGGAGTCAAAATTGCCAATAATAATAATAATTTAAAAAAAGGTAAAGGACTGTTTTTCCCCCTTGTATTTCAGTCCAGCACTCTCTCCTGTTCCAGTCACACATGGCACAATAATTCATCCTCACAGAACTAATGCATGTTATGAACCAGTCACAACAGGACCTGACTCTGCAAGTACAACATGTTGTCCACTGCTCTACAAGGACACAAAGAAAGCCATGAATAAACACGGATGGGTTGGCAGGGCTTCTCATGAGTTGCCCCTGAGCTGAAAGCTGGTGCTCCCTCAGCAGGAGGACACTGAGCACACATTTCTGCAAGATCTCCTCTGCAAAAATGGCGGGGAGGAGCAATATGACTTTGTTGTACAAGACTGAAAAGCTCACACACTTCAAATCTGAAAGACTAAAAAAACTTGTAGAAAACTAAACAATGAATGTGGAGAGCTGAAACTGTTCAGATAAGCATATTTTAATTTCACGTGGAAACACATGGATTGAGTTACTAACACAAAAAACAATAACAGAAAACGTCCGTGTGAATAATCTGCACGACATATCTTTAAAAATATTAACCCAAAGCAACTGCTGAAGCCATTTTAAGCCCATTTTTCAATCTTTGTTGTCCTGTGCTTTAGTTGACCAACGGCCATAATCACAATCAACCGTTAACCTAATGGTTGGAACAACGAACGCAACTGAAAGAGTTCAAAACGAGCTTTAGCGCTGCTAACGCTTTCCTAGCCGGCTATACATCTGTACGAGAGCTTTATTCTCACCGTGAAGAGCAGCTCAGCTTGAAGAGGAAGCCTTTTGTCTAGCTTCTTGCTTCTTTTGAAACCGCCAACATCTGCACCTTCGCGCACAAAGTCTCCGAACGTTACGTCAACAGGGACGTCGGCGCTCATTGGTCCAAATCCACCAATCACAGCGAGAGCTGAAACTGCGCGCGGGAGAAGGAAGCTGGAGGAGGAGATCAAATAATAAATAAATAATGTATTGCTTGTTATCAAAATACATCAGTAAAACGTGCAGAAAATAATGATTTTATGTTCATCTACAACCGATTAACTTCTGAAGTCAACCAATCCAATATGGATGCCACAACCATTACAAAATGTCTACACTGTAAATGATTTTGTCAGACAGCTTGTTTTAATTAGTTTTCATCCACAGCTTTAATTGCCTAAAATAGACAAATAATGTTACCAGAAAAATGTGCACTCGCTTTCATCGACATTCATAAAGGTTATGAGGGAAATTAAAGCAAACAAATAAAAACAACTAGTTATAGTAAAAGACTTCCGGTGATCGCAGCGTGAGACTTTAATTTTGAAAAGCTTTCAAGGAACTTCCGATTCCGACTGTATTTTTTGATAGAAACTGATAAATTGACAGCGTTTCAGTCACGATACACACACTCAAATTACACAGTTTAGCGTTTTGGTGTGAAAATGGGAGCTTGTCTGGCTTTGTGCTCTTTAGCTAGCTGTGTAAGTATCTCGTCCTAAAACCTATTTTATCTTCAATTTTAACGGCTTTTGTTTACTGCAGTTTTTTCAGTTAAGCTAACGGCTAACCCAAAGCCTTTACTACACAGCTAATGAGACAAATTAAACTCGTATTCTAGCTTCATTAGTCATACGTACCTGCTATAAATTAATTTAAATATAGGTAGCTTGGGAAGCTAGTTAGCATTATAAATAAGTAGTGGTTGAGGAAGTGTTTGGACATTTTGCAGAAACACGTAAAACTACGGTATATCATGTGCCATTTTTGTATTTACAAAACAACTTCTTCATAACATTACATTTTAACTATGTTTGTTTTTTGTTATTTTTATTTATGCCACCAGATTATGTCAGCAGCTGTTTAGCCAGGTCCAGCAGGGCAAATGAGTCATTGCTGGAAAAGATGTAACTCGTGTCTTCTTTAAGACACTAAAGCTCAAATATTAAATATTTATTTAGGTTTAATTGAGGCATTTTTATTAAATGTTACACCAGTTTTTTTATTTGATTCAAATAGACATCCTCGCTGGAGAGAACCACTTGTTTAATAATTTACAAGCAGAGTTTTTTTTTTTTCCATTATGGCACTTCCTGTTTATGGTTTGAATTTGACCTGACTGAGCAACAGAATACAGGTGTTTGCTCTTGACTTGTACAAACCTTTACTGTGTTTGGTCTTTTTTTGTCATCACTCACAGGCCTCCTGTCTCTGTGGTTCAGCACCATGTCTTCTGTGTGGCTGCTGTCCCTCCTCGAATAACTCCACAGTCACACGACTAGTTTTCTCTTTCTTTCTTCTTCTGGGAACGATGGTGTCTGTCATTATGATCCTTCCTGGAATGGAAACACAGCTCCGCAAAGTGAGGCTTTGATCCTATCATATTGTAATACACAGAGATAAATTTTACTGTGTGAATTAGTATTTTTTAAGCTTCATATGCCTTTTTATGAAAGTAGTATTGTTTAAAAAAATTGTTTAAATTATGGCTAGAGTTATTTGTAGACATTTTCATATTGTTTCATTTGTTCAAAATGTGCTGTATATTAGGCCTGTCACGATAACACATTTCGCTGGGCAATTAATTGTCTCAGAAATTATTGTGATAAAAGATAATATTGTTTGGAGACAGTTTTGAACTAATGTAATGATAATGACATGTACATCTTCTCAAAGATCAATTAACGTTAATTTCAAAAGAACACTTAATGCTGGAACTGGAAAATAAACAAAACAACCAAAAATAAAATCGACTTAGTCTCGGTTAACAAAGAATGCATTTGAATAAAAACTAAATACAACAACAACAACAAAAAACAGTATGGAAATAAAAACTACATTCAAACAAAACTGTACGGATTATTAAGTCTGTAAATAAATTGCCTTTCAAAAAACAATAATCATTAGTGTTAAATTAAATGCTTGATTAAATGCTCCACTGATGGTGGACTGTCAGGAACTTGAAGATGGAGACGGCCCACCGGTTATAGTTTTTTGTTTTTTTTTCCATCTGGGAAAACTGGTTTGGATGATTGTGCTTTAGGTGCAGGTTGGTTGTATTGCTGCTCTTAGTTGCTAACGTTTTATGACAAATGCAACATACCGGTTCCCAAAGGTTCAGCGGTTCGCCTCGGTCATTTGGTTTGAATCCGAAGTGCTCCCACACAGCTGCTGTTGCGTTCGACTTTGAAACCAATTCCATTTCTTTTTCCCCCCAATATCAAACAATGTTTCTTTAGCTTGCTAACTCCTCACGGGGCTCTAATGCTGCAGAGGTACAAGACGATGTGCCTTAGCTGGCTACCTGACGTGATAGTTCACTCCCCCCTTAGGAAATGAAGAAGGAAGGGATCAATGAAGAGCACCGGAGTTGAGCCTTTTGTCACCCAGTGTCTTCGGTAGAAAGAAAGAGACACGAAGAAACAATAAAGCAGATAAATGAAAATGATCGACCTCATTTTAATTTAAAATGCGATTCATTGATTTATTGTTTATCGCAACAGGCCTACTGTATATAGGAAATTACATGAATCTTGACATTATTTATCATAAAACCTGCATAGATCAGTTTGATTTTAAACTGGTTTGTCTGACTTTCTTCTTTCATAGATCCCAGGGTTTTGTAAAGGAGGAACTACTGTAATCGGTGTTGAAAACCAGGTTAACTGTGAGGTTATTGTGGGGTACAAGTCTGTGTATCGCATGTGCTTCGCCATGACCTGCTTCTTCTTTTTGTTCTCCGTTATCATGATTCGTGTCCGTAATAGCAAAGACCCACGTGCAGCTATTCAAAATGGGTAGGCATTCTGTTGGGCCTTTTTTAATCAGTAAATGTGTTTCCCTTTGTCTTTTTTTGTTGTTGCTAAGAATATGTTTTTTTTTCCTCTCCTTTTCAGATTCTGGTTCTTTAAATTTCTTATCCTGGTTGGGATTACGGTGGGAGCTTTTTTCATTCCAGATGGAACATTTCATAATGGTACTAACATCTCTGTTAATTTATTTAATTTATTTTTTTTAAGTTTGGCAAACAGTGTCGCAGGGCATTGCTCTATGGGACTTTATTAAATCCTAAAAATAAGCAAAAGGGCAAAATGATACTGATCTTTTTGTTTTTCATATCGGTGATTGAAATCAGCCTAATGACAATGCATAAAATACAATACCAAGACATTTTTTTACCAAACAGCAAAGTATAACTTATAAAAAGGAACACAACTGGAGGTATCAATGCTTAAAAATAGTTTACTTGAACATCCTGATGCAGGCTCAATAATCCAGTTAGATAAGTCTAACACAGCTAGGTCATGTCCTCTGGACGGATTCATTATTGTTGAAACGTTTAGTCTTTTATCCAAAAGACTTCTTCAGTCTGAGGAGCTGCAATCAGTAATAAATGGCACCAAAGTGGATCATCCAGTTTGCTGGTGACATCCAAAGCTACTGATAGTTGTTCACATGCAAAAGAAGGATGGTCAGCCTAACAGTTGATTGTTGGTGCCCTGATGGCTGCTTGCTATCTTTGTCAAGATAACCTGTCCATTGTTAAACAGAGGCCTCTGTGCTCAACTGTCACCCTCGTACATATCTCACCTCTGCAGGGGGTTCACCTGAAAATCTCCAGTTTGAGACCTGGATTCAGAAACCTTCAGTTTCAGAACGAGGGCTGTTGTCATGTAAATGAATGTCCGAACTGCAGCAGAAAAGCTTTGGTTTCACGCAACAAACGTAGTAATAATAATAATAATAATAATAATAATGTCATCACTGTATGTTTCCATACAGTGGAAACCGGCAAAATTAGTCTCTGCATTTAACCCATCCACCACCAGGTGGTGCAGTGAGCAGCTATTTAAAGCGCCTGGGGAGCATTTTGTGCTGCCCAGAGACACCACGAGGTGTGCAGTGACCGGGGATCGAGCCTGGGACTTTCGGGTCCCGGGCTGGCTGCCCTGCCTCTACACCATCATGGCCCCATGTGTAAACTGGGCCTTAATGTTTTCACACCTGATAGTCCGGTAGACTCGGTTCGGGACCAATATTCATGACCTTTTGTTTACATTTGAGCTGGTGCGTTTGCATTCACACTGCACTGTGCAGTTGAGTCAACCTGTTGAACCAACCTATTCCCCCGCTCGCCTGTGGGGGCGCTGCACCAAGAACTACTGAAAGAAACGACACAAAAACCTCTGAAGACACGTCTTCTTCTTCTTCTTCTTCTGGAAATAAAAACAAAAACTGAGTGGCATCAAGTTTTAGCAGTTTTAGGAGTTATATTTTGTCATTTTTCAAAAATGGACTCAGCATGAGCAGAAGATGAGACAGAAGACCCTGGAGAATATTGTTTTTCACACAAGGCAGCTGACGGCTCCATATAAGATCAGAGAAATGTGTGTTTGTTCGTGAATGCAAACGCACCAGCTCAAATGTAAACAAAATGTTATGAATATTGGTCCCGAACCGAACAGAGTCTACCGGACTATCAGGTGTGAAAACAATCCAAGTCTTTTTATTATATTTGTATACATGTATGTTTTACTTTCCAACTGTTTTAGGAAACTTTGTCTGCTTTGTTTTTTTTTTGACAGTGTGGTTTTACTTTGGAGTAGTGGGCTCCTTCATTTTCATTCTCATTCAGCTCATCCTCTTGATCGACTTCGCCCACTCCTGGAATAAGATTTGGGTTGAAAACGCTGAAGAAAGTAACAATAAATGCTGGTTCGCAGGTAAAGCATATTAATAAAATAAATTAATAAAGCTGCATTTGACAAACGTGTTGAATAGGGTTGATACGAGAAAATATCAAGTCGATGCCAACATTTATAATTGTTGTAGATGTCTTTTTTCTGGGGTAACAGAAGAAATTGTAAATTTAGTCTGTGCTTGAGATACCAAACATAAGAGGGTTTTGTATGGATCTTTAAGCAATAAGCAGCTGACTCGGGTACCTCATAGCTGAAGGAAAATAAACTTCCAAATTAAAAAGAGGGGCTGGAGTTCATATTTTTTTGCTTTAATGTGTAAACAAAGGCAGATTTACATCCCAACACTTACTGTCCATCAGTTTGCTGACTCTGAGTCAGTGATATAATGGTCAGATGCACCATTTCTGCTGTGACTTGTGGGGAAAAAGATTACAGTATGTTGTGTAGGTGAAATGTTGAAGATGACTTGTAAATAAACCACAGAACTTCTAATTAAATGGTGACCGAGCATGAAAAATGAGAACTCATTTATGCATTAAAGACAGGAAGCTGTTTACAGAACAGTTTGAGTTTAAATATTAAAATCAGATTATTAATTCTAATGATCATTTTGACTGTAATTTTACTTTTATTTCCAAAACAAATCTGAATTTATTGTTGTGAAGTCTGTACACAATGTTAAAAAACTTTTAACATGAGCTCAGCTTGGTTAGACTAATGCAGTAACTGCTGGGTGTTTCTCCTAATGGCTGGTGGCTACTGGTAAAATTATAGTGCAAGTACCAGTTTCTACAGGGTTTCTTTTTTGTCTGCATGACAGAAATTGTTTAATTTAGTTCTTGTAATTTGGTTGAATTAAGTTTGCATTAATTTAACGTCATCTTCTTCAACTAGGCTTTTCCCTCATTCAGTGAACGATCTGTTCCTTAAGTCAGCAGCTGATTTGTCTGTTTCTCCACTTTTTTTATTTGTGTTACATTTTGTTTGTATTTCAGGGCTGCTGTCTTTTACTTTTCTCCACTATGCACTGGCTTTCTCTGCTGTGGTGCTTTTCTACATTTACTACACGCAGCCAGGTGACTGCACGGAGCACAAAGTCTTCATCAGCCTCAACCTCATCTTCTGCATCATCATTTCCATCGTCTCCATCTTACCAAAGATACAGGTAGAGTATTAGACTGGCTGACACGATACAGGTGATGTGGCAGATGAGTTTAACAAACAATATAATGGTGAAATTTGACATGGCACTTATTTTGTTATCTATTTTAGAGGAGATGACTTCTCCCCTTTTATTTATGTTTTCTAAAGAAAGGTTTTTATTTGTGGTGGCATTTATGTTAGTCTAGTTGGGGACTGCCTAGAAAGGCAGCCACTTATTATTATTCACTTGAAAAGAGTCTTGCTCTTCTGTCAACCTTAATGCGGTCCGAACCGCAACGTGTACCCCCACAAATGTTGTATTAAAACAACTGGCTCGGCACGGTGATGTGTGTTATTACTTTTATTGACATTTTGAGTTACCGTGGCAACATAATTTGCAAACAAAGATGCCATTTTTCTCATTGAAAAACAGACAGAACTCTAAGCATCTTCTAACTGCCACAGTGAGGTCACATGACCTAGAGGGAAGAGGTCTCTGAGCAAAACACTGCTTAACTTTTGGAGCCATTTTATTTATTTGTTAACCTTTATTTAACCAGGTAAGTCCCATTGAGACGTTTCATTGAGATGATTTTGATTCAAGATGGCTGCCACAGCTGCCTCAGCAAACACAAAATTGACTATAACTCAGTCATTCTTTGAGATTTTGAGCTGAAATGTGGTATCATCATAGCTGAGAGGGAGTCGTTATACATTCCTATTATGAAATATCCAAGATGGCCTCCTTAGCTAAAAGTTAAAAAAAATATGATAACTCCGCTACTTTAAAAGATATTGTGCTGAAGTTTGTTGTGGTGGTACCTGACAGCGATGTACAATACATTTTGAATTCAAATATAGGAATGCAAGATGTCTGCCAAAGCTACTTTCAAATGGATGCAACTGAGCTGTTTTTAGAGCTGTTCAGCTGGAATTTGGTGTATTGGTAGTGAGCAATCCCTAATAGACTGATTGCAAATCAAAAATCCAAGATGGCTTTCTGAGCTACAAATGAAGAATACTACAGGGCCTTCTCAAAAATTTAGCATATTGTGATAAAGGTCATTATTTTCCATAATGTAATGATAAAAATGAAACTTTCATATATTTCAGATTCATTGCACACCAACTGAAATATTTCAGGTCTGTAATTGTTTTAATACTGATGATTATGGCATACAGCTCATGAAAACCCAAAATGCCTGTCCCAAAAAATTAGCATATCATGAAAAGTTTCTCTAAACAAGCTATTAACCTAACCATCTGAATCAACGACGTAACTCTAAACACCTGCAAAAGATTCCTGAGGCTTTTAAAAACTCCCAGCCTTGTTCATTACTCAAAACCGCAATCATGGGTAAGACTGCCGACCTGACTGCTGTCCAGAAGGCCATCATTGACACCCTCAAGCAAGAGGGTAAGACACAGAAAGAAATTGCTGAACGAATAGGCTGTTCCCAGAGTGCTGTATCAAGGCACCTCAGTGGGAAGTCTGTGGGAAGGGAAAAGTGTGGCAGGAAACGCTGCACAACGAGAAGAGGTGACCGGACCCTGAGGAGGATTGTGGAGAAGGGCCGATTCCAGACCTTGGGGGACCTGCAGAAGCAGTGGACTGAGTCTGGAGTAGAAACATCCAGAGCCACCGTGCACAGGCGTGTGCAGGAAATGGGCTACAGGTGCCGCATTCCCCAGGTCAAGCCACTTTTGAACCAGAAACAGCGGCAGAAGCGCCTGACCTGGGCTACAGAGAAGCAGCACTGGACTGTTGCTCAGTGGTTCAAAGTACTTTTTTCGGATGAAAGCAAATTTTGCACGTCATTCGGAAATCAAGGTGCCAGAGTCTGGAGGAAGACTGGGGAGAAGGAAATGCCAAAATGCCAGAAGTCCAGTGTGAAGCACCCACAGTCAGTGATGGTCTGGGGTGTCATGTCATCTGCTGGTGTTGGTCCACTGTGTTTTATCAAGGACAGGGTCAATGCAGCTAGCTACCAGGAGATTTTGGAGTACTTCATGCTTCCATCTGCTGAAAAGCTTTATGGAGATGAAGATTTCATTTTTCAGCACGACCTGGCACCTGCTCACAGTGCCAAAACCACTGGTAAATGGTTTACTGACCATGGTATTACTGTGCTCAATTGGCCTGCCAACTCTCCTGACCTGAACCCCATAGAGAACCTGTGGGATATTGTGAAGAGAAAGTTGAGAGACGCAAGACCCAACACTCTGGATGAGCTTAAGGCCGCTATCGAAGCATCCTGGGCCTCCATAACACCTCAGCAGTGCCACAGGCTGATTGCCTCCATGCCACGCCGCATTGAAGCAGTCATTCATGCAAAAGGATTCCCGACCCAGTATTGAGTGCATAACTGAACATGATTATTTGAAGGTTGGCGTTTTTTGTATTAAAAACACTTGCCTTTCATTGGTGGGATGAAATATGCTAATTTTTTGGGACAGGCATTTTGGGTTTTCATGAGCTGTATGCCATAATCATCAGTATTAAAACAATTAAAGACCTGAAATATTTCAGTTGTTGTGCAATGAATCTGAAATATATGAAAGTTTCATTTTTATCATTACTTTATGGAAAATAATGACCTTTATCACAATATGCTAATTTTTTGAGAAGGACCTGTAGAAATCAGCCATTTTAAAAGATATTAAACTGAAATTTGGTGTTTTTTACTTGCACCGTTGAATTTGAATGCTCTATAAAGTTTGTCTCAGCTGCAGTCGGTTTGCTTTTGTGAGCCGGTCATTAAAGTGTTACGTCGTGTTGTTCACAGGAAGTTCAGCGACATTCCGGTCTGCTCCAGGCCTCGCTTATCTCCCTCTACACCATGTATGTCACCTGGTCTGCAATGACGAACAATCCAAGTGAGTGACCTGATGTCATCTTGTATACTTGTCAACAGATTCAGTTGTCATTGCACTCACTGTTTCCTTCCAACATGTGCACATGCTGTTAATCTGCTTCAGCTTTTTGCTCATAAAGGTGAGTTTAAAAACAAAGACTTCCTGTCTTTTAGCTCATCTATCTTGTGGCTTTTAGTTTGTTCTGATGGACAGTCTTGTGATAAATGTAGGTTGATGTTTTTTAACTTATTCAGACTTGATGCAGCTTTTATATCCCACTTTAGAAATAGCTGTGTCATTTGCATCTTTGTTGCTTTTCAAGCCTGATACAAAACTTATCATTTTCAAGACGCATTAATAAAAGGGCAAAAGTAAACTCTTACACTGAAAAACAAAAGTGTGGCCTCTTAGAGGCTCGAAAACACTTTTCGTGAACAGTGATGATTCTGATTTTGACAACACATTCAGGAATATTGTAACACTATTTTAAAATTGATTTGAGGTCTGTGGAGCGGCTAAAATCCTATATTTTTAAAGCTAATGGTTGCTGTTGTTCCTGGTAGTCTTTGGTTTTACTGCGCTCAATGAAGAGTCACTATGCAGATCTTCATTTCGACTTAAATCATAAAGTCATTTATTTCCTTCACAATGTCCATTTCCCTTGCCATTTCCATTTACAACCAAATAAATCCGCCCTAACTTAAAACTAATTACAGTAGAAAACTGTTTGCCCCTTCCCATTAGCAACACCTGAACAGAATCACACCTGTGGCTTAAGTAGTCCCCTCTCTCTTCAGACATACTCGGTACACAAGATAAAATGCGCCACTTGGGGAGATAAACACAAAAAAACAAGATAAATGGCTCCTACAGTCTGAATGGGTTAAAATATAGACACCCACCACCCAGTTGTATAAAAAACTTACAGTACATCTCAGTGACACCTAAGTCTGGGCTTCTTTGAAATGTTATTATTTTATATGACCAAGTTGCTGTTTCTATAACAATAGGAAGAAAACAAAGTATTTGAATAGTTACATTTATCTTTAAGGTTTTAAATTGTTTTGATGTTACTATTGGTGATTAAAAAAAGAAACATTTACACCTATGAGTGCTATATCAGTATTTTAAAGGTGTTGTCGTCTACAGGGATTCAAGTTCCTCGTTGCCACGACAGATTTGTCATTTTGAACGTGGACAGGACGGATTTCTGTCATCTGTAAAAATGAGGAGAGAAAAACACGTGTTTTGTTGTGGTCTCATTAAATCCATCCAGTCTAATTATGAAACAGGAACTAAACTGATGCTGCTTTCAACAAAAGGAGAACCACAGTCATAGTTTTATTCAATCAGTGCAGGGTGGGCCGTGCTTTCTGATGTAGTCCAGGTGTAAGCAGTGCTCCAACTTTGAGAGACTGTGGGTGGAAGCACCAGTCCTTCCAGTTCCTGTCCTGACCCAGCAGCGTCTCACCGGCTGCAGCGCACACAGCTTATATGAGAAACTCTGAGACTCTGTTTCTGGTGCTTTAGGTTGTATAATTAATATTAACACGAAAAGACAAATGCCCCACATTATAGAAAAGATGTGTGCCACTGTTGAACTGTATTTTTCCCCCAAGCCCACAAAGTTCTCTCTGTGAGAAAGTCAGTTTCAGTTGTTTGTAGTTTATCATAAATCTCTGCTCATATTTCAGTTCTACATGGTATTATAGCATCACCAAAGTGTTGTGGCTGTTTGGATGTGATCGCTTGCTTGCATTTAGAGACACACTGAGAGGTGACTACTGTGATAAGTGTAATAAACAATCAAATATGAAAATAAATAGAATGACTACATGAGCTGAAATCCTGTAAATATAATTACTTTCAATGACATTAACATTTTAGGGAAGAAATCTGGCAAATAAAAACATTGTAAGTTTAAGTTAATTTATACTGTCTGAAGGACATGGTGCTCTAATTTATATCTGACAATCCCTCAATTGAAAACACTAAAATGGCATAATCAGACAAGTTGTTAACACCACTCTCTTCCTTCAGAACGCCGATGGTCTTGAGGATCTAAATGGTGCAAGTTAAAGTCTTCAAACTTCAGCACTTCATTAGAGAACATTATATCATGTACTGACTCAGGGCATGTGCACGGTATGCTCCTCTTTTGTGAAGTGACCGGTACACAGGATTACGCTCTCAAACGTGTTACTGAGGGGTGGGTGATGTGTGGGTAACCTCGGAGTTATTTTTAAAAAATCAGCCAGAAGATTTATGTGTTTTAATCCCTGCATGTAGATCGAGCCTGCAACCCCAGCTTGTTGAGTCTGGTGTCAAACGTCAGCACCACTCAACCGTCTGTTGACAGTAACTCTGGACATGTGCAGTGGTGGGACGCTCAGGGAATCGTTGGTTTGATCATCTTCCTCTTATGTACTCTCTACGCCAGGTACATTACCTGTGTTAAAGACATTCACCTTGTTTTGTACAGTTTGTATGCTTTCTAATTCTCTTTTCTTTTTCTCTGTCTTTTAGTGTCCGTTCATCCAGCAACGCTCAGGTGAACAAGCTGATGCAGACAGAGGAAGGCAAGGGGTCCGGAGGGGAGGAAGTTGTGGGTGAAGATGGTATACGCAGGGCCATGGACAACGAGGAGGAGAAAGTCACTTACAGCTACTCATTTTTCCACTTCCACCTCTGTCTGGCCTCCCTGTACATCATGATGACACTTACCAACTGGTACCAGTGAGTATCTGCCGTCAGTTCGGTTTATTTATGCAGCGCCAAGTCATAACAGAAGTTGTCTCAGGGCATTGAACAGAAACGTTCACTAACATAAAAAGCCAATTATTAAAATGATCAACAAACCACTGGATGTGCAATAGTGCTTACAAATCTGAGAATGCTATTTATGATAAAAGATAATAAAATACTTTAAAAAAAATCAGAAGTCTTAAACCAGTTGAAGGAAGGAATTACAATCGATTGATGGCACAAACTGCTTTTTGCACATTTAGTTTAGTCCAGTGGTTCTCAAACTGGGGTCCCCGGGGGTCTGTGAGCCAGTGCTCACTCCAACACCAAATTTTTTTTAATTTTCTTAAAATTTTCTGGTGGAGAAACCACGCCCACCTCCCCGCCTGCTATTTGTGTTCCGGCATCCATCAGTTTCCAAGTGAAGCCCTGTCGCTCAGTATGACTACTGCTGTTCTGATCCTCTTCAGTTTTATGTAAAGAGTTTTCTGTAATAATTTGAAGAAGAAGCGATACATTTATTATGTTCATCGTGTGAACAGGTGAAGTTTTAAAGTGGTTTTTGATACCGATAATTTTCTCAAAACTGTAATTTTTGGAAGTTTAAATTAAAAATTTAGTTAATTGAGTTTTGAATGAAAAAATACCCCATGTTTAAAAGTATAAAAATTGTATTAACACTATTAAAGAACAGGTCTTAAGTATTTATGTTACACAAATATTTCCATTGCATTAAAGAGACAAGTTGAATAAAATTATTTAATAAACATGAGGGTTATGAGGGTGTCCCTGAACCCAAAAAGTTTGAGAACCCCTGGTTTAGTTGTTGTTTCTCGTTTTGTCCACCAGAGGGCGTCTTCATCAGTAATGTCTTCAGTCTTGGAGCAGAGATTGATTTTTGTGTTATTTAAAAACTGCTGTGTTTTAGAACAATAAATACATTTTAAATTAAATGATTCTTGATCAACTTTAGCTGATGATGTTGTATTTAACTTTACCTCTTTGTGTGTCCTCAGACCGGACATCAGCACGCAGGCCATGCAGAGCAGCATGCCAGCTGTGTGGGTGAAGATGAGCTCCAGCTGGTTGGGCCTCGGGCTCTACCTCTGGACCCTCTTAGCCCCTCTTATCTTCTCTGACAGGGATTTCAGCTGAGCGTCTCATATCTTTGGGTTGACTTTAAATGTGTATTTTTTTTTTGTTTGTTTTGTTAGTTGTTTTTTTCTCCATATTAGACAATTTGAAGGATGCTAAACAGTGATCTAGAAAAATATTATGTAAACCTGTTTGTTTTTTGTTTGTTTTTCTTTGTTCCCACATTGTCTGGCAGTTGTTTGTTGTTTTACTGCTCGTGCTGTTTCAATAATCATCAGAGGTGTAAAAGTTTACACTAATTACTTTAGCTGATCTGGTGAAGGCTTTAGCTGTAAATTCTGTTATTTACCATTAACCAAGACACTTTTCCTGAGGGGAGTTCTAGTTTGAACTTTAGTATTTCTGTGCTGTATTTTAAGTCACTTGTGAAAACTCGACAAGAAGGCACTTTCTCTGTACCTCGGAAGTTTTATTTACAGATTCTCTTTCTGATCAGGCCTCTCTGATTAGACAGGTCTGAAATATCCCTGATTAGCTGGACTCCTTTGCTACAAGGGGGAGCAACCAGGAGACCCCTGCTCCGGAGCCCCAGCGTGAGGTGAGTGCGAGCGCTAGATAAGACTAAGGAGGCACACCCTGCAGATCATAACAGGGCTTCCCTGGTGCTGCTAAGCTGCCTGCACAGCCACGTCACTGCATCTTAAGCCAGAGAGTCCTAAAAGACCTCCAGTCTAATCTCAGCTCTTCCTTGCTTCATTTAAGACCATTTATTCCTGGTGCTAAGCTGTTCCATGACTGTGCTCAGCCTCGGACGGCCACAGGCAACAATCTTTACTTGCAGTCTGATGCAGCAGGGAGGGAGACTTGTTTTTAGCAGGTCAGCAACCTGCAGCGGGGAAGTCCCACCAGTCAAAGCTTTCACTTTGCACTACTTGTGTTTTTAGAAATGCCATCATTTCCTTAAGTTCGGCACGTTCTCTAGCAACACAAAATAATGTATATATAACAACCGCACTCGACAAAATGAAAATGCATTTCAGAAGAGATTGACGTTCTGTTTGGTTGTGTTGGTACAGTACTTATGCATCATCTGCTGATTACCTCATTTCAACATGTCTAAAAAGAATAGGATCAGTATATTTTGCACTTGTCAAAAACATTTTTTTATATAATACTTGAACTGTAAAAGCATTTTGTCAGAAATTTCAGTAGGTATTTACGTGAATCACATATCCTGTGTTTGTGGCATCAGATGTGGGTTGTGAAAAGTTTTTCAGATTTTGATATTGAAATGTTTTTACCTAAATTGCTGCACATTCAATCCCTCCAGGGTTTTTTTTTTTTTTTTTTTTTTAATGCTGGATTGTAATGTCACATTTCATAACTCTATGAAGTGCCTTTTTGTAGTCCTGTGTTTCAGAAGGGAAGTTGTTCATGATGCTGATGTGCTTATTATGCCTTACATTGTTGTGAGTCGGTCATCGCATGCCATTAGGCGTTGGTTTGATACTAAATAATTGTATTTCATGCTTTAACAGTCATTTAATAAAGATCAAAACTTTCACTTTGTGCTTTTAGTTTGTTTTTGTGTCCTACTGAATGAATGTCATTCAGTATAAAATTGAATAATTAAAAAAAAACTAGTGATTATTTTTTTAGCATTTATTTGCTAAGTAGCATTTTTAACTTGGGAGTGCCATAAATGGAACGAATGACTGCCCTCAGCAGGCCACCACAGTGCAGATGGTGTGGTTGCACTTTCCTTTTTCTGTACATCACCTTACAGAGCTGAGTTCTGACGCACCATGAGAGGAATTAGGGAGGAGCCTTCATGCACATCATGTTCTGTTCGCTCAGCCCAGCCTCACCTACAACTGAGGCAACTCAGAAAAACATGTAAACATCTGGCTGATGGATTGATTTGTCTCCAGCCAGCAGCTGTAAACCGTCCGTCACGTGTCAAACATTTCCCTTTGTTAAATGATGTTTTTTGTGACGTGTTAAAGGAAAACGATGGACCTGACGAGTCTTTCCATGTTATTCCTGGATTCCAGCAGTAAACGTGTGAGCTGTCAGCTGCTGCTGTGTTTGTCCCTCTCGCCTCGCTGGCAGACGGAACATGTTGGTTTTGGCTGCTCAGTCTAGTATCTGCGTGTGGAAATAAATGTTCAGGACACACCACCTCTTGTGGACTCGCACCCTCCCACAGCACCACCCTGCACTCGTACAGCTCAGTTGTGATTTCATCATTCCCCTGAAAAACACGCTCCTTAAACCCTGTGAGGAAACAACACGTGATCAAAAAGCTGTTGATTGAAAGAAAAAATATTTAAAAGAGAAATTTATAGTTATCAATTGAAATTGTCTATAATTTTACTATCATCTTATGATGAACACAATCTGTAACTAGCATGTCATACAAAAGGTTGATATTTTATAAGATGAGGCACAGCAGTGCTTCTAAACTCACGTAAACTTTATTTTTGCCTTTTTATAACTAGTTTTTTTTTTTTTACTCTGCTGCATTTATTTAACCCCCGGTCAGTTTTTCCAGTTGTATACATGTTCTATTGTTGTGTTAGCAAAATATTACCTGAACCACTGGATACATTTTAATGTAACTCTGAAAGCAGCCATTGGGTGAGACTTTTAAAGCCAACCCCGTTCATGATGGTCACCACAGCTAACCGAGCTCAGCTGAAACTTAAATGGAGTTAATTCTGTCCGTTTTACGAAAACGGCTAAATTTCATGTGGTAGTTGAGAATCATCTCTTAGAGCAAAGAACAATAAATTTGTTTTAAGTCCATCTGAAGAAAATCAAGTTTCTCACTTTCCACAGGACAATAATATATATTTAACAAGTTTTTTATTCACGTTTTTCCTGTTCTCTGCCTGTGATTGGTTGACGTTCATGGTTAAACCCAACCTGAAGGCCTAAGGTCAACCCATTTGCTTCAGGCACCAAGTACAAGCCTCTCAGATATTCAGCCTTTATTTATTCAGAAGAATCACACTGAGACTACACCACTGGTTTAGTGGTGAGGTATGGTAAGGATTCATGTAGCTTACTGTGACACACCATCTGCACTTTAGTCCGTTAATACAGGCGCTCCAAAAATGAGACAAAACTGAAAAGTCTCAGCATTGATTTAAATCTCGTTTGACTAAATGTTTTCAAATGTATAAAATCCCCTTCTGAAATGAGTTTAAAAGACCAGTTCATTAAAAACCTAAACTTGGTTTATAATGTGGGCAAACATTGAAAACTGACATTTTTGTCAAAGGGGTTCCAATAATGTAATTTTGAACAAACTGGTACAGTTGGAGCTTAAATTTCCATTAACAAAACCATGGCCTTCTCCTCTGCTCCTGTGTCCTGGAACATCCTGCAAAAAGATCTGAAGTTCTCGACCTTGACCTCTCCAAGTGGCTTCAAACATCCGAGTTCATGGCAAAAACCAACGCAGACATGTTCCTGTTTTTAGTATTTTATATCACTCTATAATGCTGCTGTTTTAGTTTAGTTTTTTTAATATTTCATTTATTTTTCCCGATTTATATACAGTCTTTTATGATTGTCTACATCATTCTTTGTTAAAACAGGTCTCTCTTGTCGATGAGTCCTCGAGGCTCAGTGAGACTAACCTGTATAAATAAAGGTTGAATGAATGTATGAGAAGCGGCAGCTCTGCCATCGTGTTCAAGTTTGGCCCGTTCAAAAGAAGAAAATGTGAGGACATCAACTGACAGTCAGTACTGGTCGAGCGATACAAATATAAGACGTATTGAATAAAAAGCAGTGAAGACAGCTTGGATGTATGACTTCCATTTCCCTGAGGCTGAAGCGCTGCAGATTAATGGTTGGGAACTTTCTGGTCCTCTCGACTCTTCCCATTGACCCTCTGAGCACCAGTATGACTTCATGGATCAGACACATGGAACTGGGGAGTCTTGTGAATTTACCTAATGCTCCTGGGCATTTGTTGTAAACTCATTACTAACAGATGTTTTATGTAACGTCTCAAGAGACTTGTAGCCACTTGTTTTAATCTCTGACAAAACTCTTGTAAAAAAAAAAAATCATCCAATCTGTTATTGAATTAAGCATTTCTAAAGTAAGTCATTTTCTATCAGTCTCATCTTAACCTTGAGAACACAAAACAACATCTGAGAACAAATTAGCAACATGTCATAAATCTCCCTTTTATTTCCCACACTTCTCAGACATGAAGTCATTCCTCCTCTCAGAATAGATTTAAGGCACGCTCCGACTTTGGCCTTCGGCTGCAGCGTCATAAATCCCACCTTCCCCTCCTCTGTTATCAATGGAGGCAATTTGTGGCTGTAGGAAGAGGTCAGAGGTCAGTAATGTGCGGATTATGAACCACTCAGTTGGTTAGGCATCCTGGGATTTTAAATCCCAGGTTAACTGATTGAAACAATTCTTAATCTCCACTTCAGCGTTTTGCCCCCAATTTTTTGGGACATTTTCAGTCCACCCCCCTTCAAGTTTACTGTTACAGTCGAGAGGCACACGGTTTGCTTTGTTCGAGCGCGGTGCACATCCCTGCCCTTCTGTTGGGCACAATGACTTCAGCCTATCTTGAGGTGTAATTGGGTTTTAAGGAGTTTAATCTGGGACCATTAAATTATATTCTGCATGCAGGGGAAGTAATTGAGTTTGGCCCCTGCTGGCATACTGCATGTGCACTGGAAACATTTACCCAACATTAAGGCCCAATTAGGCTTTTCATGATGGGAAACTTGTTGCAGGATGATTCAGGTCTCTCTTGTAAATGAGTCCTCGAGGCTCAATGGGATTAACCTGTCTAAATAAAGGTGGAATGAGTTGCTGGATGATGAGATACTGATGCCTGACTGTCTGACAGGAACCCCCCCCCCCCCACACACACACACACACAATATGCAGCTTTGATTGTATTTGTTTCCTCAATGCTCTCTCTGTGTTTTCAGGTTGTAGCTCAAGGTATTTGACTCTGAAGTAAAGAGTGTGTGTTTGTTTTGTTCTCCAGTGCACATGCTACCCCCCCCCCCCCCCAGCTCTCAGGAGCAGCAGTTATATAACAGCCTGCGCAGCCGGCGTCTGCTGTGAGCCAAACGCCAGCCCAGTCTGGTTACATAAGGCTGTCAGAGTCATATTGTAGCAGCAGAGTCACTCACACCACAGCATGCCCCTGCACTCCTTCCACCGTCTCCTGCTCTGTCTCTCGCTTCCTCCCACCATCTTTCCTCCACACATCTCCTCCTCACCCTCCCTGTTTTTCCTTTCCTTTCCACTTTTCTCTCCCCGCTGCAGTGCATTTCTCCAACAACAAGAACAAAGACTGAGTGCAGACATGGCTCTGAGAGGATGAGACCAAAGCTGGATTCACACAGTCATCAGAAGTTCTTGGCCTTGAAAAGTCCCCTCTGATGTCCCGCTCACCTTTAGGGGCGCATTTGATCTCCACCTGTCGGTGACCTTTTACTATATGTGACCCCTGAAGGCTCTGCTCCTTGTTTTCCAAGTTTTAGAAGGATACAGCGAGGAGATGTACTTAAGTGAAGCGAAACGTGTGCCTTATAATTTTACCAGGGCGCACTGTCTCGGTTTAAGTTTGGAGCTTTTTTATAAAATGGTTTAGGGTTATGATGTGGAAAAGGTCACACACGGACGTTTGAGCTGGTTAAACTTTGCCAAAAGTTTAGCAAACAAATGTCAAAACTGTTCCATACAAATTCATCAAATGTAGAGACTTTTGTCTTGTGTCTCTCACTGCTGTGAAATGTACAGTTTGCTCTTATATCCACCAAGCTTCATCAGATTGTAACTTGGTTGCTTCTTCAAAACTGGACGTGCGTGATCGCTGTCACTTATCTCCTAAATGAAACGCATTAAAAAGTCACAAGTCTTCTGCTGCTCTCGGTTCAAACATTTTAAAGATGCAACCTATAGTTTTTGCAGAACAACTGTTTTGTACATCAACATGCAAGTATTCTTTTCTAGATGAGTGTTTCTGAAAGTGGTGTGTGTGTGTGCGTGCGTGTGTGTGTGTGTGTGTGGTGGTAGGGGGGTCAGGATATCACTCCTATTTGTTTCTGTCCTAAAAATGTTGTAGGGGATGAAAAAAAATAAGTATCCATTCTTTTATCTATCCATCTAAAATACAGTAAAAATAGATAAATTGCAGCTTTTGATAATTAATATTTGTTGGTTTTCTGTGCATCAAATGGACTTTATTTTTTTATTATTCTAAACGTGATGTACATTTGTCTTATGTCCACTTTTAAATGATCAGAGGCTGAGGGCATGCTCCCATTTGATTTTACTTTATATTGGGAAAAAAAAAAACTACGTATAAACACTGGGCTCATTTTGTTTTGGTGTTATTGGATTGTGTGTGTGTGTGTGTGTGTGGGGGGGGGGGGGTTCTTTTACAAAGACATAAAAAGTTTGAGAACAACTGATTTAGATTATTAAATAGTTGACGTTGTAAAATTGGGCAGTAGCTGCATTAAAACCCTAACAATTTTTAAATTTCTTCTGAAATTTTCCATAATAATATTGTGTGTGTGTGTGTGTGTGTGCGAGAGAGAGAGAGAGAGAGAGAGAGAGAGAGAGAGAGAGAGAGAGAG